TTATTCATGTGTACTTACAGTTATTTTGTGAGATATAGTTCCTACTTGCTGAGCGAAAGCTCAATCAGATATGTTCATGTTATAGGTAAGAAACCTATTAGCAATTCTTGAAGGGCAATGGCGAGCGGCGGACGAATGGTGGAGATGGGAATGGATACCGCTCACGCAGTTATTTTCCGCAGTAAGTTTAAGAAAAATCATGTATATGTCTATATGATTCAAAAGTTTCAAGTATGTATGTTTAAAAAGTATACGTACATATGTATGTTAAGAAAACCAAGGTTGTAGCTAACAACCCTAGTTTTGAGTATTTAAGTTTTAGAATGTTACAGTACATGCAACAAATAAATGAATTTTAAACATGACGATTTAAATGAGTAATTTTAGAAGGACTTTAAGATGTACTTGAATTTAAGATTTCTCACGAAATCCGTTTTAAAGTCAAATGAGATGGCCGATTGAAATGACTAGTTTTAGAAAAGCTTTTAAAGAGTATTTAAAACAAGAGTTCAAATGCTATTCCATTTGAAAGATATTCCTAAAAGGTTTTATCTTAACAAAAATTAAAAAAAGCTTTAAGAAATTTAGTGATTCACTTATTTGAAATTATTGTTACAAATTATGAAAGTATTCCTTCTTATATAAAAAAAAAATGTTCCGCATATTTTAAGAAACCCCAGTAAGTACAAGTTAAAAAGTTAGTAACAGTGGCGGCCTCAAAGGAGAGTCGTCACAGTTTTAGGTATTTTCTCCAAACTAAACTAGAAAAGTAAAAAACACAAACACATAGGCCTCGTTCGTTTCGCTGATTCGAGTTTTGCTACAGTAAAAAGCTCTTACAAACAATCACATCTAACTTTTTTACTACAGTAAAAAACTCTCACATACAATCACATCTCAACTCAAATTCTAAATTCGAATAAGCGAAACGAACAGGCCTAACACCTAAAACAATAAGAAAAGGTTATGCATCAATGAGAGAAGAAGCACTGTCAATGTTACCCTAAACCAACATACATTCACCTCACGTACAGTCGACGCTTCTTTCCAACAAGACACTTCTAACACCATCTTCCACACCATGAAAGACGGGCCTCAAGAGAGAGAGAATATTAGAGAAGACCACATGGTATGCCACGTAGGCATGCAGCGGAGCATCCGCCGGAGTATCTGAGTGGCCGATAACCTACGCTACGTGTCACTTTGTTATTGGTCAGATGGAGAAAGTGGGAGCATCACCTGCTGTAATGCTAATGCGGCAGTCACCTTCCACTATTGGACACGTGCCTCTCAGTTCGTGTATCTCACGCACCAGATCACAGCCGTTGGTCTTTTTAATCGATGGCCTGAAAAACTTTCTGATTTATTTTTTTATAATATTTATTTATTTATTTTAAATATATTTGTGATCCGATTTTTTCATTTTAATACCGTTTTACGCTAAATAGTCAATACTACTTAGATAAAAATTATAAATAATAAAATAAAACTAAACAAAAATATATTAAAATAAAATAATATCACACCGAATTAGATAAAAAAATTAAACAAAACAAAAAAAAATTAATTTAAAACACAACGAAATAAGTTAAAATTTTTTCTATATGTCTTTGTTTAAGTTTTTTTCCGTTATCTTTTCCATTTCTTTTGTGTGGTTTTTTTTTAACTTCTTTGTCTTTTTTTAAACAATTTGTATAATCATTATTTTAAATTAATCATGTACGCGTAGCACGTGTTTAAGACTAAAATTAAACAAAAACTAAAAAAAGAAAACAAAAGATGTTGATTTGTGTTCGATTTTGTGTGTCTTAACACTGTCTTACGCCAAATTTTCAATGCATAAAAATACTTGAATAAACAAAATAAATAAAAATACATTAAAATAAAATAAATCACACAAAATTAAATTAGATAAAATAGAATTAATCTAAAACACAACAAAATAAGTTAAACGTTTTCCCTCTATCTTTGCTTAAGATTTTGTTCCCCGTCATTGTTTTCATTTCTTTTATATTTTTTTTACTTCTCTCTCTTTTTTAATAAACAATTTGTATAGCTTTTATTTTAAATTAATCACGTGCACATAGTACACGTTTAAGACTAAACTAAACAAAAACTAAAAGAAGGAAAAGAGAAAAAGAGGGTTGATTTGTGGTCCAATTTTCTCCGTTTTAACACCATTTTACACCAAATTGTCGATGCTGGTCAGATAAAAATACTATAAGTGATTCGAATAGAAAATAAATTTAAACAAACAAGAGTTAAAATAAATAAAATCACATTGAGTCAAATAAAAAACACAACAAACAAAATAAAATATAACTAATTTAAAACATAATAAAATAGTTATATTTTTTTTTTGTCTTTTGCTTCAAATTTTTTCTCTTTTTTCATCATTTTTTATGCCTTTTTTATTCTTTAAAAAAAATTTATATAACTGTTATTTTAAATGAATTATGAAGGTAAAATGTGCGCTCCAAATTAATTTATATTTAGGGTTCGTTTATTTCGTTGATTTGAGTTTGTAATTCGAGTTAAGATGTGATTTTATGTGAAAACTTTTTACTATAGTAAAAAAGTTAAATATAACTGTTTTTAAGAATTTTTTAACTCAAATTCTAAATTTAAATCAGTGAAATGAACGAGGTCTTTTATAATAATAATAAGGAGGAAAAGTGATCTTTTGAGTAAACACGTTCGGTGTTCTGAATATTATCTCATTGTTACGCCGAAGTTTATGTTTAGACTTTTGACTGTAATAAGATATTTGACTATTATTCTTTTTTTTTTTTCTCTGATAAATTCACTATTATCCTATTGGTTCTACTTTCAAAAAATTTGAAAACGACGAAAACTTTTTCCTTGCTTAGAAAACAAATTGTTTTTTCTTTTTGAAAATATTTTATAAAGCAAAATTATACCTTCTAACAAAACAATACAGGCAACTAATAAGTCAGTTCCCCCTAAAAAAAACTCTCCACCGCCATTGAGATCGCAAAATTCTCCCAAACCCCACCTCCCAATCTCCAAAATCTCCAATGCCTCCCGAGCACCACCACCACCATGGGGTTCATCAAGAACCTCCGAAACCGAACCAGAGATTCCTCTCCCTAATCCTAAAAGCCCTAATCATGATCTTCATAACCTCCCTCTTCTTCCTCTTCGTCGGCGTCGCCGCCGTCATCTTCCTCTTCTTCCTAGCGGGCGGCGCCCTCCACCGCCGCCGTCGCCACCACCATCACCGTCCCCGCTCCTCCTCCTTCTCTTCTCGCGACCTCCGGAGGCTTCCGCAGTTCCGATTCGCCTCGGGAACAACAACAACAACAGCCGAGAGCGACTGCGTTTGCGTCGTCTGTTTGGACGCTTTCAGAGACGGCCAGTGGTGCAGAACGCTCGGCGCGTGCGGCCATGTTTTTCACCGGCGGTGTTTGGACGCGTGGTTGGTGAAAACCCCGGCGTGCCCGATTTGTCGGACACGTGTACGGTTGGATTTGGGAGATGGGGCTTCGTCGTCGTCGAGAGATTTTGAGGAAGAGGCGAAAAGATGGTAGGGCTTCGATGCGAACAATGGATTTCAGGGCTTTGTAGGCATGTAATTTGATGTAAGTTTTGGTCTTGTTTTATGATTTTGATATAATTGTATATTATATGTGTCATTTTGGGGTTTTTTTTTTTTTAAATCTGAATGTATAGTAGTTTCAAGTTTCAATAAGAAAACTTGGTTTTTGTTATGTGTATTCTTTTTTATGGTTTCTTTTATTTTCTTTTCTTCCTTTTTCTTGGACATTAGTTGATGAAAAATGATGAGAAAGAATCCGAGATTAGGTTTAAGATTGTTGATAAGTATGAAGTTTTTTGCTTTATTGGTTTATACAGCTTAGTCGAGAGAAAATGAGAGTTTTTTTTTTCTTTGTAAGAAACAGAGATAAAGAAAAGGAATGTTCTTATTTTTGTTTAACTGTCCATTCTTTTTGAATCTTGTCAAGAAGCAAATCTTAGTGAAGATATGATAGTTAGATATCTTTTGAGTGCAAATTATTATATAAAACTTGATAATGGAATTTCAAAAGACGCCAAGTCTAAGGTTTTATGAGTGTTTGTAGGAGCAGAAATCCTTGATCATTTGTAATAATTTAGAAAAGCTCGTCTTTAGGAGATTATGTCTTAATACATATTCCAACAAGAAGGAAAGAGAAAGTGATTCAAAGTTTTTTAGCAGATGGGATTTTTGGAAATCAAATAATGAAAATAGCGGATCAGAGTTATAGACAAGGAAAGGCAGAGGGGGAAGATTATTTTTGGACTTGGTGAAGAGTTTTTAGTGTTACAATATATTTTCTTTGTTTTAACTTCATTTGTGATGGAGAATGATCCTTAAACCAAAGGCGTTCGGAATGTGTTTCAATATCTTCACATTGCTACTATTACTATCAGGAATCATTGGATTGTGTTCTTTGGCTCGGAAAGATGAGAAAGACATCGGAACATTTATGCTATGTTTGGTCGGAAAGAAAGAAAATAGGATGAAAAGGAAATATGAAAGTGATGAAAAATAGTAATGATGGAAAGGAAATTGATTTTCTTTTATGTTGTTTGGTATGAGAAGATGAAAAGAAAATGAACTTACCTTTACTTGTTTGGTATTGGAAGTTAAATTGGGAGGAAAGAAAAAATTTTACTCGTAAATTATTTTTATATCCTTAAATTTTTTGCTTGGATGTTGATGGAGAAAATAGTAGTTTAGTAACTTTGCTCACTTTAATGAGTTGTCTCAATTTTTCATCTATTTTCTGCCCACTTGTGGAAAGAAAAAAAATAGTAGGGTCTACATGTATTATTTTTTACTCCATTTTCTCGTCATTTTTCTTTTCTCTCCTATCAAACAACTTATATTTTCATTTTCCCTCCCAAAATTCTTCCACTTTCTTCCTTTCTTCTACTTTTCTTTCCTACTAAACATACTCTTAGATTGAAAAAAACAACTTACACGTTAGACCAAGTTGATGCATAGAGTAACTCGGCAATAAGTTCTACGTTAGCAATCCCTCTTCCCAGCTATGACTTATTTCCAATATCTAGTTTTGAGTTTTCAATGTTTTTTCGCTCTACGCAGCGAGAGCAAGGTGTGTTGGTTATAGAGCTTTACTCTTGCAAAACTTTTACCTTTACTGCTTGGGAGCTTTAAGTGACAATAACAAGTTTGTACTTCCCACTAGAGGGTGAAGGATCTTCTTGAACTAAATGACCTCATTTTTTTCGTATTTGAAGTTTTCCAGCTCGTATTTATGTGTGTTTTATCTTTTGTTAGCTATTTCTTCTTCTCTTTCCTCTTTGATAGACAGACTCTTACCTTGAGGGTTAGTTTCCTAACGGCAGATATGTGTAGGCCATTGTTGGAGGTTTTAGATTATTTGGAAAATAGGGAAAAATTATGACACTGAAAGTTCTTTCTGAAGATGCTATGCGACATTTGGCATATTCTTTAGCCATACTTATCTTTATGAAGATGCCTTTTTTTTTTCTTTTTTCCCTTTTGACCTTTTTCTTTACAAAATTGAATTTATTGTTGAAGTCCAATAAATTGTATCACCAATTCAACCTAAATTTCAATGGGTTTTTTATCGACTCATAAATGGTTTTGGTGAAGGTTCTCAATTTTCATGGTAAAACTGGTAGAACATCCTTACCTCTCTAGAAAGCAAAAATTGGGCGCGTGTGGTTTGTACGTTTACACCGAAATTTAAATTTGTGAGGAAAAACATTGTAGTAAAAACTTAGTTGTTGAATCTATGAAACAATGGATTCTGATTTTGAAGATAAATGTCTTTATCTTATTACGAACTGCTGTGATAACTCAGTGGCAACAATATTTTCTGACGTACCATGATATGTTCCATTGGGAGCAAAATGGTGGGTGGTTTATAAATTTCCTGTTTGAGTCAATGATTTTTTTTTTTTTTTAATTCAAGCAAAACAATGTACGTGTTCTAAGAACTGTGGTTGTACCCTACTGTCTCAGATCCACCGACATGGGATTTAGTATGGATGTGTGAGATTTAGCCGTCAGCTACTTTTTTTTTTTTTGTCTCGGAAGGCTGTCCACCTCCAAATTTGGCGGCTCATATGGTGTTCAATATGTTGTAGACTTGTGGTTTCACTTTGCTTTAAAATGGTCAAATATGTTTTGAGTTATTCCCAATGGGGTTCGTGTATTATGAGTAGTGGTCGATCAGCCTACCACTCGTAACCTTTATCTTAGTTCATTTACTTATCATGTAGTTGACCCGTATTGGTGATATGCTGCGATGATGGTTAAAATTGAATATTGTTTGTGTGCTGCTGGCTTAGAGTTGTTTATCTAGGAAGCTTAAATTAGCTGCTAGCAATAGGGTTATCTGCAGTCTTCTCATATGAATTAGACTAAATATATGGTAATAAACATGAAATAATTCTACCCATTTTTAAAATTAAGAATTATTATCATTGATGCTTCTTAATTTTAAGTCACTATCAGTTTACCTTTTAAACTTTAAAAACTCCTACTAGGTCCTTGTTAAAAACTCCTACTAGCTCAGTGTTAGTTTACCTTCTTAACTTTAAAAACTCCCACTTTATTCATTGGATTTTAAATTGTTCTCACTTAACTCTTTTTATTGTAATTTCTGTAAAAAAAAAAAAAAAAAAAAAAAAAAACATATTTTTTTTCCTTTAACTTTTTTTTTTTAATTTTTTTAAAAAAAAAAAAAAAAAAAAAAAAAAAAACAGATGAAAAGAAGGGGTAAATGTGATCATGTAGTTTTTATTTGTTTGTTTTTAACATAAATTCAAACAAAAAGATAACGTGACTGTATTATTGTCTTTTTTCTATTTATTTTTAACAGAAATCACAACATAAGGGGTTAAATTGGAACAATTCAATGATCAAAGGGTAAAGTTAAAGTTTTTAAAGTTTAGGAGACAAAGTATGAATAACGCCAAAATTTAGAAAGTACTAGTGAGATTAATCCTAATATTAAATAGAGGGAAGAAAAAATGTGAAAGAAGTATTCTTATAAACTTTTCCGAGCTGTCACTTATGTCACTTATTTCACTTTGTTCTATCCATAAAAAATCCTTGAATTTTTAAGTTCGGTTCCCGATCTAATTATTTTGTAAGCAAAAATGTCTTCTAATTAAATTTTTTAATTGTGTTGGTGATCTAAGCATCAACTTTGGTTAAATTTCGTACATGTCTATCGCATGTTAACCATGTTTCATTGGAAAAACGAAAAATCAAGAAATTTTAAAAATTATTATATTCGATTTTGGTTTCTGATTATCAAAATCTATCTAAAGAAACGCTATAAGACATTGCAAACTTAAAGAAGGAAAAAGGAATCAAAATACCTTTCAACTGCGTGAAAGTTTTTAAGGTAGGCGCCTGAAAATGAAGTTAGGGCAGATGACGTCGAAGTTGAACTTATAAAATGTAGCTGGAGAGGAAAATGGGAGTGGGGAATTTTGGTTCTGGGCTATTGGTGACATCTTTAATGTTGTTTGTATTCCAATACTATTCAAAATGTTAAATTTACTTTTTACCGTAATCACTAAGCTTTGAAGTTGTAAAAGTGAACTTGTAATCTTAAAATAATTTAAAAGTACAAAGGTTGCAATAATAAAATGAAAAAGTAAATATATCAACTAAGATAATCTCCGATGTAAATGTTGATGTTAATTGCATATTTATCATAAAAAAATGATATGATATGTTATTTTCACTTTTATTATAATGCATAATGTTATATGAAATGCCGAATTTACTTTTACTTATAATCATTAAGTTTTGAAAGTTATAAAAGTACACTCTTAGTTTTAAAATAATTAAAAAATATAAAAGTTATGATGATTATATGAAAAAGTAAACATTTTAACCAATAACGATTAAATGTTAAATTTTTCATATGTTATATTTGGTGAGAAATTTGCCACAAAGTGTAGTATATGAGAAATTTAGCATAACAAATAACATTACATTGGAGAGTATTTTTTACACTCAAATGCTAAATTTACAATTGGCACGTCAACTATAACATTACATTGAAGATGCTTTAATAGTAATTAAATGTTAAATTTACCATATGTTATATTTGGTGATAAATTTATTATAAAATAAATTTCACACAACAAATGACACTGCATTAGAGATTGTTTTTACACTCATATGCTAAATTTGTCATTGACACATCTTAGTATTGTATTGAATACGCTCTAATTACATTGTAATTTACATATTGAGGAGTGGTGGTGTGTCATGCACATGTTCCATCCGAATTTTTTGGAAGTTAATGACAAGATTGCCATTTCAATTAAAATTTTGATTCAAGTAGATTTTTGCTATAAAATTAATTGGGGTACAAGACTTTTGCTATAAATTTTAAAGACCTGCAATTCCATTAACATTTTAAAATTTAGGGAATGTGGAGCTCACATAGCTAGAAAGAATTTATATACTAAAATATTATTATTGGTACTTTTTAATCTCTCAATTTTGAGTAGAAAATTGAAAAAAAAGAAGAAAAAAAACTTTCCCAAGAGATGAGTCTAAGAAGATTATAAAAATTATCTTATACAGTAAGACCGTTAAAAATTGACAGCCTCAGGAGCAAAAAAAAAAAAAAAATCTAAAAAGCAGCGAGTCTCGCGAGATTTCTCGTAGATACGTCAATGAAGATTGGATACCCCTAATCGTCGTTCTAGGGAGACAAAGGGTGAACGAGATGATTTTTTCAAGAAGAGACGCTTCTAAAGATCACTAATGGCCGTTTTGAGCAACTTTGACGTTCGACTCGACGATGTTGGAGGAGATGGTCGCCTCATGACGATTACAGACTCCGGATGATTCATCTCTATCTCAGCTCATGACGCCAATGATGACGACGAACAATATCTTGTTTCAGAGAGAGAGAGAGAGGAAGAGAGAAGGAGGAAGAGGGAGAAAGAGAGCAAGAGATACTCTAGGGTAATTTGAGGTTGAGTGGGGGGTAATTTGGGTATTTTCATTGTAGTAATTCAAAGTGCTTCAGTATTGCACTATTTATTAACTACAATTATGGAATAAGCTCGATTTTCACTCATACCATTACATATTTAACGTCGTACACAAAAGTCTTGAATTAAATGGATATAATATCGAATCCTAAACACACATTTAGACGCATCTTAGGAAGAGAAAAGGCTATTTTTATCATTACACTAACCCATTAACCATATATAATTTGTAATTTTTAATAATATCCTTGGTATTCTACCAAAAAAAAAAAAGAAAAAAAAAAACAATATCCTCCATAGTGGTATAGTGCAGTGGATTTTTGTTTTTAGATATTTAATGGAAACTGAAAATAAACAAATAATATAGTAGATATTTGCATATTGTGAATAGTTTAACATATCACCAGCTTGACAAATGAACTTATTCAGGCTTTAACCCTCAAGTCCAAGTGGGAACCCCAAAAGAAAAGTAAAATGTCGAAGGGTACATTGGTAAAACTACAGACTTAATGGAACCCAATTCCTCTGTGTACCTTCCCCCAATTCTCGATCCAGTTTGGTTTGGTAAGCTCAAAGCTTAGACCTGAGAGTTGGGAGTTGGGGGAAAAAAAAAAAAAAAATGTCCGAAATAAACGCTGGGTTTTCGCATTCACAGGAACCGTTACCTTCCTCTTCCTCTTCTTCATCCTCACCCTCCTCTTGCTTCCTCCTCCAAGCCCCCAAAATCCTCCTCGATTCCCTCAAGATTTTCTTGAGAAACAAACGCATTTTCCTTTCCATTTTTGCCCTCACCACTCTCCCTCTCTCCTTCCTCCTCTTCTCCCTCTCCCTCTCCTCCCACCGCCTCCGCTCCCACGTCCTCCAACTCGAGTCCCTCGCCAGCCTCTCCCCCACGCGCTTCGAGGCGCGTCAGGTCTGGAAAGAGTCCCGCGACGACGCCATCTCGATCCTGTACACCAAGGCCCTCTTCCTCCTCCCCTGCTTCTCCCTCTCCCTCCTCGCCGCCGTCTCCGCCGTCACCTCCGTCACCCTCGCCGTCAACGGCAAACGGCCTACTCTCCACTCCGCCGTCACCGCCGTCAAGTCCACGTGGAAGCGCCCGCTTGCAACCTCCATCCTCGTCTACGCGCTCTTCCTTGCGTACGTCCCCGTCCCCCAAACCCTTTCCGCGGCTTTCCCTTCGCCGGCGTTAAGATTACTAATCCTGACCGTCGGATCCGTTGTGGAGGTTTATCTGATGGCGGTGATGAGCCTCGCCGTCGTGGTGTCGATCGCGGAGGAGAGATTCGGGTGCGATGCGATCCGGGTTGGGTCGGGCCTGATGGGAGGGAGGAGGGTTTGCGGGTGGGTTTTGTCGGGGCTGTCCGTTTCGGCGACGGCGTTTATCTCTGGGGAGCTAGAGGAGGCGATGGACGGTCAGGATCAGTCGAGGAAAACGACTTCGACGATGTCGTCGTTTGCGGCGGCGATAAGGGTGGCGGCGGGAGTAAGCGACGAGATTGGGTTGGTCGTTTTGTACGGAGCTGTGGTGCTGTGGAGTTACGTCGTTTTTTCTATTTTTTACTGTGATAGTAGAAGACGGCATGGGCTTAAAGCAGAGAATAGTGAAAATGTGAGAGTGTAACATTATTTTTATTTTTATTTTTATTTTTATTTTTTTGGATTTTATGGTTTTGTTTTGGGTTTGGTGAGTGATGTTTACTGTTCAGATTCAAGAAGTGGATCTGAGATGGTGGCGTCTTATTGATCCAGGGTTATCTGTATATTATTTTTTAAATGGGGATGGAAACAATTTTTTCTTGACATAAGTGATTTTTTTTTTCTTTTCATAGTTGATGATATGATTAGTCGATTCTAATTAAGTTGGGATTTTAAAGCTTGTTGTTGCTGTGATAGTTGATGATATGATGCTCATATTGTTTAAGGAAATTGGACTGTCTGAGGCCATTGCGCTGCATTTCTATTAGGCGTTTGCTTTGGTACCAAAATTGAGTCTCGACACTCTCTTGCCTAAATAGGAAATCTTGACTTTGGAGCTTCCAAATGCTGTCCACTAAAATGATGACACGTATTATAAAATAATTAAATTATTCAATAAAATATAATGAAGAAAACACCATCAATTGGACAAAGAGGGTACAAAAAAGGTCTTTCTACTATAGGCGTTTGCTTTGTTATCATATTCGTGTTTTATAATATTTTTTCACATAAAAATATATATATAAATAAATAATAATTTTAAATTATAATTTTAAATACATGAATAAAATGTGCCTATTTTAAACAAAGACTCGTCATAGTACATGAACAAAACGTACCTGTTTTAAACAAAGACTTGTCATAGTTTATCATAAAAATATTTCAAAAAAAAAAAAGTTGACCACTTCAATTTCCTTTTCTTTATGGATGTCAATGGGGGCGGGACTGGGCAGATTTTAGGCCCCCCCCGCCCCGTTTTTAACCTACACCAAAATGACCCGCCCCGCTAAGTAAGCTGGGCGGTTCAAAAATCCAACGGGTTGGCGGGTACCTGCCCTGCCCTGCAACCCTAAAAAAAAAACTGCTACTTTGTCAATTTTACCCATTTGTTTTCCTTTCTTTAAGTTTTTTTTTTTTTTTTTTTCTTTTCCAATTTTCTCTTCCATTCTTTTTTCTATCTCGATTCTCTCTCTGCCTCTCTTTCATTCTTGTTTTCCTCTCATCTCTAAGATTCTTGGCTTCAACGTCACGACGGAGCAAAGCGATGTAGAACCGTGACGGAGCTCGTGACTTTTTTCCCCCTCGTTCTCTCTGTTCGGCGGTGCCGGTGGCCGGATCTGCTCTAATCCGAAAGCTCGCGACGACAGATCGGCTCAGACATCTTGCGAACAGATCCGACGAGATTGCGACATCTAGGGACGACTCCTGGTGACGACGATGATGACGCGACGGCGAGAAGACGGGAATGAAGGATCAATCCTCGACAGAGTATGCTCCGAGAACGGAGAACGGAACGAGTTATGGGCCTTGCGACGACAGATTTGACGGAGGACTGAGGCAATAAGCCGGCATTGGCGACCGTTTTTGGAGTGAGGAAGAAAGGGAGGAGAGAGAAAACGCAAGCAGATATGATTTTGTTTTGTCTGAGGATTTTTTTTATTTACATCTAAACAGAGCGGGTTATGGGTGACCCACGCCCCGTCCCGCCCCGCCTCACGAACCATTTGGTGCGGGTTAGACCCACCCCATTAGGGTCGGGGCGGGCCACGATATTCGAGTTGCTTCCTCTCCTCAATTATTTTAATTTCGTTTTTTAAAGACTAATGCAGGTTAACATGGTGATTTCGTGCTTTAAGAAAACAACAATAAAGTTAATTAAAGCAGGGTATACGCCTTCAAGTTTATCTTTCTAAAAGTATAATATTGTAATATATATTTATATATTTTTCAAAAAAGAGGATATGATTAATGATGTGCTGAGGGGCGCTCTTGGATAGAATTGAAGCAAAGCCTAAAAGCTACTATGAAAGCAAAAGGATTGGTTGGTAAGAATTCCAAAATTAATGAGTAATATGCAATTGCTCATAATTAGATGTAATTACTTAGAAAGAATTATTTAATAGACTGAGTGTATCACGTCATTTTAAAAATGTAATTTGGTTTCTCTTTCTTAATGTGTATTGCATTAATTGTAGAATAGAATTTACTCCCATCAAAATCCCTTTTTATAAATTATGTAACTTTAAGTAATTTTGTTCTTAGTTTAAAATATTATTGTACACATTTAGGGTCCGTTTAGTTTGCTGATTTATATTTTTAATTCGAGTTGAGATATGACTTTATGTGAAGTTTTTTACTGTAGCAAAAAAGTTAGATGTGACTGTTTCTGAAAACTTTTTACTATAATAAAATTTAAATTCTAAACTCGAATCAGTAAAATGAACGGGACCTTACTTTACTTGGATGTTTTATTTACTCTGTTGTTTCGTTTACTTGGCGTGGTTCTTTTGTACAGCACTTGCTATTTTTTTGTGTGAATGCAATAGTGTTGGACGTGCTTCTCATGGGTAGAGGGCACAAGATTAAACAAAACAGCAACAAGAAAACCAAATGACAAAATATATACACGATAGTCCACACGAATCATACCCAAATTCTCAAAGAAAATTTAAGTTGCTAAAATATAATCAGTGCACTTCTCCCACTTCAACGTTTTATAAGCTGCTAAAATAGAATAATTAATGCTCCTTCAATAGAATCAACTCTCATCCACTTCTCCTATTGTGAATTATACACTGGCTCGGTGCTCATCTGTTGTCGTCTTTCACTTCTCCCATTGTTAGAAAACATTAGAGCTAGCTGTGTCATATATGGGCTCATTTAGTCACCGATTTGAGTTTTTAATTAGAGTAAGATGTGACTTTATGTAAGAGTTTTTTACTGTAAGAAAAAAGTTAGACGTGACTGTTTCTGAGAGCTTTTTACTGTAGCAGAACTCGAATTCTAAACTCGAATGGGTGAAATGAACAAGGCCTATATATATATATATATATACATATATATATATATATACACATAGCAAGTCTCGTCCAAAAGCATATTAAAATAAATCACTATAAAAAGCTTGACATTTAACGACTATTATAAGATGACGGTTTATAGAGATACTGTCGTCTAAAGTGTACTTAAAAACTTAACTTCCAAGCTGGCGGGTATAGACGATAGCTTTTATAAAAATCATCGTTTAATGTTCACATATATAATGACGGTTTCCGTAGAAATTGTCATCTAATTTTATTTTTAAACTCTATTGAACTTTCATGTCGTGAAAATTCACTCGAAAATCAAAACGCAGACTGGTGCCATCTTGTCCACAAATCCGCGAAGAACCTCAAGTAAATTTCATTAATCTTCTCTTTTTTATATAATTTGAGTGATATGGATGTTGGGTTTATGTCTTTTGATAAAATTTTGTTAGGTAGATGATGAAATTTGTTTAAGTCTTATAGTTTTGAAAATTATAGATGTTGGGTTTTTGTTGTTTGTCTTGAATTTGTTAGGTTGATGGTGAAATTTGTTTAGGTTTTGTGGTTTACGTTTTATGGATGTTGGGTTTTTATTGTTTATCTTGATTTGTTAGAAATGGGCTATAATTTACGTGTTTGGGTTAGTGAAATATTTATTTTTTGGTTTTGTTGTATAGCAATGGATAGAAAATAGATGTTTGCAAATAGGTTGAGTAATGAATATGAAAAAGGGGTTGAAGAATTTATTTCCTTTGCAAGGAATACAATGGAAGGGAATATGATTCATTGTTCATGTGTGCAATGTGGCAATATTAGAAAACAATCAATGCATGATCTTAGATTCTATTTGTTCCAATATGACATTGATCGGACTCATCAAACATGCATATTGCATGGTCAAGAGGTTCCAAATTCATCTTTGACGGTTAGGGGAATTGAGAGCAATGACGTTGATATTGATCGTGAAGATGATGGAAGTAACATGGTTGATATGATTAATAATGTGGAGGAAGAATTTGTGCACTGATAGGAGTTATTTGAGAAGATGATGGATGATGCGGAGATAGCATGGTATAGCGGGTGTAAGAAGTATATCAAATTGTCTAGATTAATTAGATTGAGGAACTTGAAGGCGTTAGTTGGGTGATCAAATGCAAGATTCATAGGACTTTTAGAATTTCTGAAAGATACACTTCTGGATAATAATTAAGTGTTGGGTTTTATGTACGAGGCAAAGAAGACGTTGAGATGAGGATGGAACATGAGAAAATACATGCATGTTCAAATGATTGTGTGCTATATCAGAAATAGTGTGAAGACTTGGATAAGTGTTCGATGTGCCACGAGTCTAGGTGGAAGAAAGGTAAGAAACCGTCTAACGGGAGAAAATGTGTGCCGGTGAAGGTGTTATGGTACATTCCGAATCTCCGATCGAACCAAGATTAAAACAATTATATTGAAATCCGGAACATATTAAAAATTTAACTTGGCATCATGATAAGAGGGTCGACGACATTCCATCGGTGAGTAGAGGCTTGGCACCTGTTGCCGAGGTTGATGTTTTTGATGATGATAATTCAAACCTTGTTCGTTTAGATGTTGAATGGACATGTGTTGAAAATAATAGAAAGAGAAAAAAATGATAAACTATATGTTGTTGTAATTTATATGAACATTTAATTAATATGTTGTTGTAATATTAATCATAAACTACATTCATTGATGTATTATTTAATATTTATAATTCATTTTTATTTAGAAGTTTAATAGCTGACAACACACAGGATTAATAGACCAACTCATGGGACTAACAAAAAAAAATGCACGATTTTTTTTATATGGGAAGAACATATAATGACGGTTTTTTCATAAAACTGCCGTTAGATCTCAACATCAGACGACAATTTTATAAAAAATCGTCGTCTAAAATACGTGCCAACTCTATTTTTGACGAGATTAGATGACGGTTTACTAAAAAAACCGTCGTCTAATGTCATTTTTAATGACGGAAAAAACCGTCGTTATCCACAGACATTTAACGCTCGCGATTAGACGATGGTTCTTCTAATCGTCGTCTAATATTTTAACGATGTTTATTAACGGTCATTAAATACGAGAT